TTAGTGTAGGGTTTAGGGCTTAGATTTTAGGGCATCGGGTTTAGGGCAGGGCTTAGAGCTTCGAGCTTAGTGCTTATTTTTTTCTCCTCTGTCTGAGCTTTGGGGATTGGCACTGGTGCAGCCTTTGGCTTTGTTTTTGTTGTCTGGCACAGCAGGTGTGGCTTCAAAGTCGTCTGAACTCCGTAAATAAGAACCTCTGTAACCCAATAAGGGAAAATGTAAAAAACCCAAAGGCCAACCCTATAAACCCGAAGCCCTAAACCCAAAGGCCTAGGTGAGTTTTCTGGCTTTGTAAAGCCTAAGCTCTTTCGCAGGAGATGGGGATTTCGGGCGCGTCCAGGCTGGCCCCAAAGGGATCCTGGGTAGAATTAGTTAGGGAGACCGCGATACCCCTAAACCCCAAAACCCTACACCCTTAAACCCCCAAACCCTAAACCCCTAAACCCTATAAAACGTAAACTCCTAAACACCTAAACCCTAAACCCCTAAACCCTAAACCCTAAACCCCTAAACCCCTAAACCCTGGAACCTGAAATCCCTTGAAAAGGGACACTTCTGAACCCGTAGGATCGTAGCTACGGGCTTAAGGGCGAGGACTGTGATTCGAAGGCTCGACCTCCGGTAGGGTTTAGGGTTGAGGGTTGAGGGTTTAGGGTTAGTTTAGGGCTTGTGGGTTTAGGGCTTTTAGGGTTCAGGGTTTAGGGGTTTAGGGTTTAGGGGTTTAGGGTTTAGGGCTTCGGTTTGAGGGTAGGAGATCTATTATGAAAGGGCTTCGGGGCTTTTAGAACACCGGTACTACGGTTTCTTAGGTTGAAGAGATGTAGGGACTATAGGGGAGGACTGTGGCGAGGAGGAATCAAAAGCAGGTTCGGGCGGCAAGCTAGTGGAGTTTCCAGCTCGCGGCCTTTCGAATTTCTGAAACGAGACATGAAGAGTTTTTTGGGTTCTACCGCTGCGCCCGAATCTGTTTAAACACTGCAAGCGCGGCCTGTGCAAAATGGGTTCTGGGTCGAAGCCCCGCCGAGCTCTTAGGTCCCTAACCCCCCTGTTTGCAGCACGGAACTGCAGATCGTACAAATCCACCATCTGGACCCAAGTAGGGATTTGTTCTTGTGGCATCAACATAGTAGCAATCTGACTTAACAGTGGACGGTCAGCTACAAATCGAATAAGAAACTCTGCCTGTCCCCCTCCCCACCCCCACCCCGCAAAGACAAACATCTCTCCCGCTCTCTCTCTCTCTCTCTCTCTCTCTCCCTCTCTCTCTCTTTTTATTTCTCTCTCTCTCTATATATATATATATTTATTTATATATATATTTATATATATATATAGAGAGAGAGAGACAGATTGTGTATGTATATACGCATGATTTCAATTGTATGTGTAAAGGCCCGGCCTCAGTCAGCCGCTCGCAAAAAGATGCGCAGCGCCCACCCCACTCGGGAACGCCCCAAGCAACCACGGAACCTGTGGGGCAACGGCCTTATGTGGGCTGTAGTTTCGGCTTAAGGTTTAGGGTTTAGGGGTTTAGGGGTTTAGGGTTTAGGGGTTTAGGGTTTAGGGTTTAGGGGTTTAGGGGTTTAGGGGTTTAGGGGTTTAGGGTTTAGGGATGTGGGCTGTAGTTCGGCAGGGCAGGCTCAGTTGAGAACGCCAAAGTCAAAGCACCGTACCTCCTACTCAGCAGCACAGTGGTTGATAGATGGCACCATTTCGAAGACGATATTGGTTTTATGATTTTGGGTGGCTTGGGGCATGGAGTGCTAGGCAGCAACATGGCATGATTATGTTGTATCAAGAGCTGTACAAACAGCCTGAAGGTTTCAATAGCACTTCTCCTTGATCCCAATAACTTTTGCATTTCATCGATGTCCCGAGCTCTCAGCTTCGCCTTCTTTTGGATATCACCCTGCAGGCAAGTGCAATCCTACTCGTCCTACGGTTGATGATATAAGTCCTGCATTACCCATAATAAGGAATATACCACAATTCCCATAGTTTAGGGTCCTTAAGGCAATGCAGGATTTAGATCATCAACAGTACTGCCCCGGCCGTCTGCGCAAATGGCCGCAAAGGCCGCCTCCCCAGCTGCGATGCTGCGGAGGCCGCCTGCACAAGTTAAAGGAAACTACAGGTGGGGAGTTTAGGGTTTAGGGGTTTAGGGTTTAGGGTTTATGGTCTATAGGGCTTCTATAAGGTATATAGACCTTCTATTAGGTTCTTATAACGGTAACTACCCACCTGAAAATGTCCTAGAACAAGCTCACACTCCGAAGACTCCCCTAAACCCTGAAAGGACCTAACACGCTAAACCCTAAACCCGAGCCCTGAACCCTAAAAACGCCTACATCCCTTGAGGCTGCAGGGCCATGCTAACATCAAAACCGCCCTTCATGGTCATTAGACTTGTGCTTTGTGGCATAGATAGCATAGCAAACAAAGGTAGATATAGATCTACATATATATATATATGTATACAAATACATACGTAAATATGTACTAGTACTGATGTGTGTGTATAGATATATATATATATACGTATCGTTACTATGACTATCAGACTCCTTGATAAAGGATCCTGGACAAAAACGACTCTCGAGTCGCCTATACTCAACACGGACCCTAAAGAATAGGCTTTAGGGTTTAGGGCTTTGGGTTTAGCACCCTAAAGAATAGGATCCTAAGGACACTCTTTTCGAGATCCATACAACTGCAGCCCGAAGCCCTACTTTCTCAGAAGCCGGCTCGCTGTAAGCCTCGTCTCAGCACCTCCGGAGCTACGCCGATGCCTTGCTTTCAACGGAGCTTATCGTTTTGGCCCCGAATGACCCGACAATTGCTTTTTTAAAGGTGTCGTCTTGTGGGCATTTTAGTGCTACACTGCCAACTGCCAGATTCAACAGACGGGTGATCCTGCACCCTGTTCTCTGGTACGGGACCCTTCCGATAACTTCAAAGACTGTAGCCCCTATGTTCTCTAGGGTCCAGAAGTATGGGGTTTAGGGTTTAGGGTTTAGGGAAAAACCTAGAAGACTTGTCTGTCCTCGGCCCAGAGTTTGATGGACGCAGTCGTGCTTCAAGTCGACAGCTACAAACACCCTAAACCCTAAAAAGCCCAAGCCCAAAACCCCTAAACCTCGAAAAGATGCCAGGGCGCTACTTCCTCCGTTTCGAGCATTGCCCCAGGTGACGAGGCTTCCTAAGGTACGGCAAGGCCCTACCGTTGATGATATATATCCTGCATTACCTTAAGGACACTAAGCTATGGAAATTATGGCTTTTTCCTTATTATGGGTAATGCAGGACTTATATCATCAACTGTACTTGCGCAGTGCCCGTGCTTGGGCTTTAGGGCCCCGCCTGGGTGTCTGTAAACCGCAAAGGCTCCAAGCACCAATACCTGTAGGCTTTTAGGGTACCTGCTTCTCTATATAACAGATCCTAACCATCTTCTTCTTCCGTACGCTACTCGA